GGTCCTTTTCCCTCTGAACTGAACAGAGGCCCTGGCTCCAGGCACCTTATAACAAAATAAAAACAGAAAAATTGCCTAAAGGCTGCTGAGCAAAACTGAAGGCAGGAGCCTTGCAAACAGACTGGTTTATTAATAATTATCTTCATGTTCTTTCTTAAAAATAGGAAATTTCTTCACACTGTTATTCAAAAGTACACCAAGAGGGGAGATCAGCACCTAACAGTTGACAGAGAAAGAGGGGAGATTAAAATTCAAACCGACCAGGATGTGTAGAGGAACTAGACAAGTTCTACACCCCAGGTTGTGTTCCCAGGAGGAAAATCCAAAATGGCTTCCTCGACTTTCTCCCCTTCAAATACAACTGGCCCCCTTCTTCCACACAGTTTATAGCATGAGCACAATGCGGAGACAGATTAAATAAGACAGGCCGCATTTTCTCCTCAAGTAGTTACTTAAAGCTACGACTGAGATGATTTCATGACGAATGTAGTCTAATCTAAATAATAATAAAAAAAAAACCCTAACTTTCAAATGGATCGGGAGGAAGAAACTCAGTAGGAAATGGGGGAGGTGGGAGGAATCAGATAGGAAAATATGGTTTTTAAAAACACATTTCTATCTCTGAAGCTGCCAACGTTGGGGGGAAAAAAACTTTCACAGTAAACTGAGGAGAAAGCCTAGTCGAGGTTACTCACTAACTGCTGGGGTGAGAGGCCTCCAGAGCCTCCAATAGACTCTTCCCAAGAGGACATTTCAACAGCATAGGGAGATGTTAAAAATCACAGGGGAAGGTGGGGGGTGGGGGGCACTGTAAGAGGTGGCATAGGCCCTGCTATGGTTGAAGCCTAGGCTTTTAACACGACGCCTGAGGATTGCCTCAGGAGCTTGTGATGGTCCAGGCAGTGAAGGGGGCCTCACTATTCCGAATCAACGGAGCCAGACCTGGCATGACAGGAACACCACGGAGCGGAGATTCCGATCACCCGAAATGGCTCCACCTTCCCCCGATTAAACAAGGTGTCGAGATGGAAGCCACTGGAGTGAACCATCTCTCCGGAGAGCCAACCTTACAGTCAGACATGCCCCCCACCCCCACCCGTGTCGGGAATAGCCAGTTGTGTTTTCTGGAGTGAGTGAATCTCAAAAATATATATTTTTCTTTTGCAGCAGTTGACTTTGTCAACAGCAGAGAAAAGAAACCCTGGCTCTTCAAGCAGTGTTCCACCCGTGCAGATAGTGCCCTGGAGCGAGTGAGGTGCCCACTCGTACAAAACTAAATTATTGAGATCAGGACAATGCAACAACATTTTCATTTACAGAAAGCAACAAACAATATTCCGATAACAGCGAAGGTGGTGGGCACTTTTGGTTGTTTGGAATGGCCAAACGATTTTCTTGAAATAAGATACGTTGGATTCAGTTAGAATCATAGAATAGAATCCCTACAGTGTAGAAGCAGGCCATTCAGCCCATCAAGTCCACACTGACCCCCTCTGAAGAGCATCCCACTCAGACCCATCACCCCAATCCCTGTAACCCTGCATTTCCCACGGCCAGTCCACCCTAACCTGCAGATCTTTGGGCTGTAGGAGGAAACCGGAGCACCCGGAGGAAACCCACACAGACACAGGGAGAACTTGCAAACAGACAGTTGCCTGAGAGTGGAATTGAACCCGGGTCCCTGATGCTGTGAGGCAGCAGTGCTAGCCACTGTGGCACTGCACAGCAATTGTAACAGAAGGGTAAATGGTCTCGTAGCCACATTCTGCCCAGGGCATGTAATGGTGGCAATATCGTGGAGGTGCCGGTGTTGGACTGGGATGGACAAAGTCAAACGCCACACTACACCAGGTTATAGTCCAACGTGTTTATTTGAAATATTAATTGAGAAGGCAATACTGATGGTGAAGAATCAGTAAAAGGGTTAGCTGTAGCCTTGAGGTGAACCTTTTCAATTTCAAAAAGAACTGGCCTCACTGAGTCAGGGTCACTAAGCTCCTTACACAAGTCCTTTCTGATGGCAGGGTCTACAGCCATCTACGTTCACTCAAAATACAGACTGTGGGCAACAGGCACAGTGCCCACTGATGGCTTTGGACCTGTTTTTTTTTGCAAAGGCTGTTTCGTGAAGGTGGGCTGGCAGAGAGCAAATGCTGTTCTGCGAGCGAAGAAAATGGAACAACTTGTTCACTTCTGACAAACAAAAGGTTTAAAAAAGGTAGGAAGGTATTGATGCTGTAAAAGCAGTGGGAAAACCATACGTAAAAATAGAAACTGAGACAATGTATGTGTAATATTGAGATGACTGGTACCCTTCAATAGGTGATGGAAAGTGACAACGATTAGAATTCACTGGGGGACAGGAGAATGCAAGGAAACAGGCAACCAAGGAGCTTCTAATCACCATTAGGGATTTAGCTAATAACCTCTGGAGCATTTTCTTAAACTTCATTGGAACATGATGCACTCACTTCTAATGTCAGTACAAATATGCACAAACATTGTGAATAGGCAGAACAGCTTTAAAGTTCCTTCATCCTGAAGTAAAAATAAAAAAAAAAAGGGAGACGAAATTTGATTTCTGTGTTGGGAATTTTTTTGTCACAGGAATGGTCCCGCACAGGGCTACTCACATGTTGGGAGCAGATTGGCATGGGGTGGCACCAGGTGGGTACAAGCTTCCAACCCAACGCCCTGAGCACTGCCCTTAGCGACACCACCCACTGCAGAAAACAGGTCAAATGGCCAACACTGCTGGTCTTTTCTCTAGCGCCATGCCCACAGCAACTAGCCTGCCAATGGTTAACAAACCAATATTGATACTGGAAATGGCTCGATAAATAAAACAAAACCTTTGAGAGTGAGCGTTCCTGTCAAC